TGTGATACCAATTAAAATTTCATGGAATTCTCCATAATGCTTAGAAACATTGTATAAGAAAAATCTTTCTGAAAAGACAGCAAGAACATCAGGTTACAAAAATTACTATTTGGTGAAGATGCTACTACATTTAAAAATAAACCAAAAAGCAATAAGTATCGAAACTGCATAATATCTTTCGAACTGAAAACACTAAATCCCTAGTTTCAAAAATCAAGTTGGTGCTCCATGCCACATTCCAGTCCCACTCGATTTCACTCATAGATAGGTTCACTTTTCCAAATTCGACCTACCACAGCTTCACTCTTTTCAAACCTTTCACATCCCCGCCTCTAACCACACAGCTGGTGTTCTTTCTCACATATTACTGAGGAAATAAATCCAGACACGTGAGTCACCTCCCAAACTGCAAGACTCCCTCCCCTTGCAGATGCCTTATTTTGTTCCCCACTGTTTCAATGGAAAGAGTGTGCCTCCTCCCAGCCCAGCATCCACTTCTTTGCTGACGCCCATCTAACTAGATGGCTCAGCATCATTCAACGTACTCTGTAGTCTCTTCTTAGCGTCTGGAACACCACTTCCCTAGCTTTTCTCAAGCCTTGCTAGTGGCTTAGCCCAAGTCTCCCTTACTGGGTCCCCCTCCATCTTACATCTAAGTGATGGCCTTTCTTGGGACCTTGCCCTGGAAACTCTCTTCTCCCTAGACTCTCTCCTTGGGATATTGCAGCAATTCCCTTAGTTTTAAATATTATCTTTTAAAAATTATTTTATTTACTTTCATTTATTTTTTTGACTGCTCTGCGTGATTTGTGGGATTTTAGTTCCCTGACCAGGGAGGATTAGGATGGAGTCCTAACCACTGCATTGCCAGGGAATTCCCTTAAATACTATCTTTATTCTGATGGCACCCTGTCCTAGGTTCTGGGAATACTACCCCAGACTCTCTTTGGAGATTCAGATTTCTTAGCCAGCTGCATATCTAAGATCCTGCTTTGATGTGTCTCAACTTGGACTCGACTTGTCTTAAATGGAACTTGATGTTTCGTTCAAACCTGTTCTCCTCAGTCCTTATCTTTCCATCATCCATCTAGTTTCTCACACTAGAAACTCATGAAGTCATCTTTTGATTCCCTTCATTCCCTCACCCCACTTCTAATTTGTCAGTAGATGCTGTCAATTCACACTCTAATTATAAACTCTTCAAGTGCAACAAGACATTTCCAGATTTGGGGCTCCCAAATCTGTATTCCCTTCTGCCCAGTCTTTCCACTGGCCGCCTTCTCTTTTCCCTGGTCTCAGCACCAATGCCACCTCCTCTGTGAGGCCCTCATGGACCACATGGGTCACCCATTACTCTCCATCTCTGATTCCTGTTTGTTTTCTTCCTAGATCATACAAGACTTGTCATTTGTTTGATTTCTTGTCTGTCTTTCTTGGGAAAATCCCTGGCAGGAGGGATGGCATCTGACTTGTTCAGCATTGTATTCCTAGCATGTATGGTAGTTACTGATACACTGCAGGAACTTACTCAAGTCTTTCTTAAACAAATATTGTTATTTATTTACTTTAGGTTCCTTGTCATAATATAAAGGTAGACTAGAGGACAGAGATTATGAATCATATTTATAGTTCCAACAATGCCTGGCATGACATCATACACAAAGCACAGACCTGAATAAATCATTGAGTGAGTGAATAGATTTTCCTATCTATTCACTGGCCCATCAGCAGGTGGGAGACCACCCTCTACCCTCCTGTGATCCCCTGCACTTAGAGGGAATGATGTTAGAACTAGAGAACTTGGCCTCTTTGGTTTTCTGAGTTATTTCTCTCCCTTCCCATAGTCACCCTTGATCTGGACTCCTCACTTTCTCATTCTGTCTCAAAATGTGTTCAAAAAGTCAAGAATCTAAGAGAAGGCTTTGGAAATTCATCTTTCATTATTGGATAGGAAGACACCACGGTGAAAATATGTCAATTTTCCATCCAATCAAATGGAAACTAAATTGGGGGTGGGAGAGGGGGAAGATTGGTTTGAAAAATGCTAAAGCTAATTGGCAAAATAGGCATATATAAATATCCACAAAAATTCTGAAAAATAAGAATATTCTGACAGTTCTAAGACCTACCTGACACTAAAATACATTGGAAAAGGACAGTTTTAAAAATGGTTTTACACCCAGGCAGAACTAGAACAGAACAGAATAGAGTCAAGAAAATATGCAAGTCTATATGCACCCATGGCATACTATAAAGTTGGGATTCAAATCAGTGGGGGACTATGGGTTATTCCGTAGTAAATGATGACAGGAAAACTGATCATAATTTGGAAGCTATCTTAATCTTTCATCAAAATATATCTTGGATATTCTAAGCCCTTTAAAATAAATGTTGAAGGATACTCATTGCAACATTTCTGGTGATCTCAAAACAAAGCAGTAACCTATAGATAACTCAATATCAGTCAATTTATGGTACATTCATAGAGCTGAACACCATGCAGTTGTTGAATTCATAAGCTCCGAAGGTACTGATGGGAAAATGAAATAATGTCCAAGATGTATTTTTAGATGATAAAAATGAGTTACAGAAAGATATGAAGAGAATCCTTGTGTGTCTGTGTTTTAGACAGTGTGTTCATACACACAATTTTTTGAAAGAATTATACACAAAAATCTAACAATGGTTACTTCTAGGGTCTGAGAATAGGGGAAAACAGGAAGAAAGATTTTTAGTTTTGACTTTATACATTACAATATTGCCTGAATGTACCACTTTGATGATAAAAGTTTTTTACTTTTTAAAAAAATTAAAGTAAAAATAAATCTAGGAATTTCTCTGGAGCTGTTGCAGTCAGTGTGGGTTCGGTTCAGTTTCAGATAGCTCCTCATTCCAGCTTACACTTCTGGATATCTATAGGCCCCTTCCGGTGTAGTCAGTGTTACCTACAGGGATTTTAATCTGTTGCACCAGTCATTTCTGAAGTGGTTCCCTTTGTTTATTTGGCTTCTGTTTGCCGGTCTCTTCAAAGTCTAATTTCCGCCCTGACATAGGCCGGCGGAGGTGGTCTCTTGTTTAGGTTCGCTGGTTCAGTCGTGCTGTGGGGAGGGAGGGGCGCTGCAGACAGATATCACTGGCCTGTGTGGGGAGCGCTTGCAGTGTTCTGGCCATACTGGGTTTGCCCCCGCTCACAGGCGTGTCCTTCCCCGTCTACACTGCTCAGGCTCACGGTTGCTCTATATGGAGCGGGCCCTGCGTTGCGTGCAGTTCCAGTTTTCCGGTATTCCACAAAAGCGCGGACTCAGTTGGGCCTGCGTTTTGTGCCTTCCCCGCCCGAGCATCTCAGGCAGCCAGGAGCTTGACGGGTGCACTCTCCCCGGGTGCGGTGCGCCTTCCCCCCTCCGCGGGCCCAGCCTCAGTTTCTGCCCGGGCCAGTCGGGTGCGCCTTGTGTCTGTTCTCGGGAGCTGGCCTCTAGCCGCGACCCTCCCGGCAGATGTTGACCATCCAGAATCTCAGGAAGTCTTTGGTTAGAAGCTGGGAGCCTGTTTGCAGTTTGGTAGGGGTGCCGTCTCTGGGGCCGAGTTTGCCCCTTTCCCTTCCCCCCTGTCTCCTGCCTCCGGCGGGGGCTGGGCCAGTCTGCCGCTGGCTAGCTCTTCTCTGGGATCACTTGGTTCTTCCTTTGTTCTGCGAACTGGCCCGCAGTGTGTTCTGGCCGGTTAATTTTCTCTCTCTCTTGCTATCCCACAGTTTAAGTTGCTATCTCGCATTAGCTCCCTCTGATTGCCCTCAGGGCATTCGGGCCTAGTCCTTACCCTAAGCAATGCTGCCCGCTCCTCTCCATTCCACCCCCACTTGCTGGTGGCGGATGCGGGCGTCTGGGGTACTTTTCTGCTGGGAGTTGGTTTTAGGCATGTAATCTGTGGGTTATATTTATTTTTCCTCCCAGTTAGGTTGCCCTCCGAAATTCAAAAACTTTCCCCAGACCCGCCAGTGAGAGGGTTTCCTGGTGTTTGGAAACTTCCTCTATTACGACTCCCTTCCCGGGACGGGTCTCCGTCCCTAGGTCTTTTGTCTCTCTTTTTATCTTTTATATTTTGTCCTATCTCCTATCGAAGACGATGGGCTGCTTTTCTGGGCGCCTGATGTCTTCTGCTAGCAGTCAGAAGTTGTTTTGTGAAGTTTGCTCATCGTTCAAAAGTTCTTTAGATGAATTTGTAGGGGAGAAAGTGGTCTCCCCGTTCTATTCCTCCGCCATCTTAGCTCCTCCCCCTCCAAAAGTTTTTTAAAATAGGATAAAAATACTTACTATTGGAAGGAAGGAAAAAAAGACAAAGGAAGAAGGAAAAAAGAGAATCATGTACTAATTTCCAAGTTTCAATATATTTACAGGATAACTGTTAACATATGTAAATGTGGCTCAGTGGTGAAAAGTTCCCCTGCCAAGCAGGAGATGTAAGTTTGATTCCTGGGTTGGGAAGATCTCCTGGAGAAGAAAATGGCAACTCACTCCAGTGTTCTTGCCTGGGTAATCCCATGGACAGAGGAGCCTGGCAGACTACAGTCCATGGGGTTGCAAAAAAGTCAGACCATGACTTAGCGAATAAACATCAACAAAACCTGATTAGTTTCTGGCCAACATTCTAGTACTGTCAATCAAGGGAACCATATAGTATTAGTATTAAAAGGGTTTTGCCTTATTTAGTCCAGCTCCTTCATACTACAGATGAGAAATGTGAGGAGTTCATGCTTCCTGGGAATCTGATGTCACGGGACAGTGTCTCCTCTCAGACTCCTACTAATACATTGAAACTTTAACATCAGTAGCAAGATATACACAGAGAAATGAAGACAAAGGTCCGAAACAGGATAAAGCAGAAGAAAGGAAGACAAGTGTCAGTTACTGAACCTCTGTGACATGCCCGGGATCAAGGGCAGGGAGTAGAAAGAAGTGACTTGGGAAGGTGGGGGCAGGGGGATAGCGACGATGACCTCATGTTACCTTGTAGTGGCTGATGGCATTTTCAATGGACAGTTCACGGTGAGACTTGTGTTCAGGGGTCACTCGGCATTCCATGCACAGAAGACGTCTGCTCTCCTCACAGAACCAGCACACCTTCTTCTGGTGGCTGTCGCAGGTATAGCCGGCCCCCAGGACCCCCTCGGAACAGGGCTTCCGGCAGAGGGGGCAGCTGCGGACTCTGGAGACCGAGGCCTTCTCCAGGTGCTGGGCCAGGCAGGCCCGGCAGAAGAGGTGGCCACAGTCGGTGCGCACTGCCTCCTTCAGGCACTCCTGGCAGATGGGGCAGACGCCCTCTTCCCGGCGGTCCTCCCGCAGGGGGCCCATGGCCTCCATCCCACACTGCCAGCGTCCCGTCTATTAGGGCCTCCTTCCCCACAGGAACTTTGGACGGCTTGCCACTCCTGACAGTCCAGATAAGGAGGAGGCAGCCCCGGAGAGGCTCAGAGGACGCACCTCAGCCCTCCAATTCCAAGAACCGCCTGCCCTTCCTCAACAGAGCATTGCATGGACGGAAACCACAGAAAACAGCATTCTGCAACAAGTTCCAGAAACACATCACCTTTCACGTTACCCTCTGGTTTCCTAGTCTTTACTAGACATAAAATCACTCTTTTTCCTACACCTGGAGGAAGCAGGTGATTCAAAGACCATGTTTCCTCTTCAGAGCTTTCTGTGAATATTTTTACAGCTCAAAGTTAAGAGGCCAGAGTGTCCCTGTCAGAAGCCAGAGCTTCATAAATTTCAAAGGTGAAAGTCTCTGATTTGCTCTCGGTTGAGAGAAGCTGCAGGAGCTGGTCGAGTAGCACACTGCGATACTTGAAGGCTTGTGGTCACACTCTAAGAGTTTGGCTTCTGCTGTTAATTATGACTTGACATTTGCATCAGCATCTCTGTCAGCTGTTCATTCTACCAACCAGCATCTCTTTCAGGGTTATATAAATTCCACAATCAAAGGGACAGATAAGAAGAAAAGGACAGGGAAAAGTCCAGAGACCTTTTCCCTTCCTTTCAAACCACCTCCAAAGACCCAAAGAAGAAAGTACTCTCCTGTCCCTATTTCCCTCAAAACACTGCATTCAACTCTCATCCCCTCATCCCCAAGCCTCTTGTCTAGTCCTCCTCCAGGAAGCTCCCCTCGTATCCTACCTCAGTTTCTCCCGTGGTGATTTCAGGTCATGTCTCATGGTCCAGATCTGGAGCGATGGCCAGCAGGCAACTGGTTCTTTTTAAACCATACGAATTATATATGCTCACGTGTTAGTAAAACTGGGGGAGAGGTGATGAGGCCCATCCTCCCCACAGCTGCGTGACTGACGGAGGGGTGAGATGGACTTTGGTCAGTGAAAGGTGTGGCGTGTTTGCACACAGGAAGGAGGAAAGTCTTGGTGCCTTGGATGTAAATATGACATGAAGTCAGAGTCAGGACACACAGCGAAGACCTCCCAGAGCCCAGCTGCGATGCTTCGGGATCCGGGTGTGGTCGGTGTGGGTGACACAGAACGATGGCATCTGCTCATGATATGGGAACACCAGGTGCCCACCCACTGTCTACCAGTCAGGCTGGTCTCAGCACTCACCCTGGGGGAGCCCATGGGGAATAACACTAAAAAGAGTTGCCGGTTGAGGCTTTTTTTAAAAAATTTTGGCCACCCTGTGAGACTTGTGGGATCTTGGCTCCCCAACCAAGCACCAAACCCGGGTCCTTGGCAGTGAAAGCATGGAGTCCTAACCACTAGACCTCCAGGGAATTCCTGAGGCTTTGTTAAAAGGTCCAACATTCTTGTTCAAATCTCACTCCATACTATCCTTCCTCAATCCCACCTGGCCACTGTCTGCTGTAGGATTCCTATAAAAAAAGTCACTTTCCCAGGCTTCCTAGGTGGCTCAGTGGTAAAGATCTGCCTCCCAATGCAAGAGACATGGGTTCAATCCCCGATCCAGGAAGATCCCACATACCATGGAGCAACTAAGCCCATGTGCCACATCTATGAAGCCGGTACTGTACAGCCTGGGAAGCTGCAACTAGAAAGCCTATGTGCTGCAACTACTGAAGCCTGTGTGTCTAGAGCCTATGCTTCACAAGAGCAGCCAGCACAATGATAAGCCCTAGCACGGCAGCTAGAAGTAGCCTCCGCTCACAGCAACTAGAGTAAAGCCCGCAGAGCAATGAAGACCCAGCATAGCCAAAAATAAGTAAATAATAAAAATTATTTTTAAAAAAATGTTACTTTCACCATAGCCACAGTTACTTGGCCTTTTTATCAAAGGCGATGGCTCCCTCAAATCTCAGGGTGACAGGTGGAGTGAGCATCTTACACACTCCATACCACCACCTCCTGAGCATGATGCCCCAGAGCCAGATAAAAATACCTGTGTGTGGAGCTCTGGCTGTCCGCCTTCTCCCTCTGCCTTGCTGTCCTCCACAGAGCCAATTCCCCCGATTTGTTACAGATGAGCCACTGAGTCTTGTGAATGACACTTATGGGCTCTTCCCTGCCCTACCTTGCAATCCTGCTGTCGTCCTGGGTGATTTCAAGGACGATGTAATTGACCATCAGGCCTGACGCCCTTCAGCCCCTTTACTTGCTCACATCCAGTGACCTTTCCTTTTGGGGACCACCCTGGTGACCGTTCTCTGGTCCTTGTCAGAACAGACTTCACCACCTGAAGTCACAAATCCAGGCATCAGAATTGTCTTACATCTCTCTCCCAAGCTTCTTACTACCTCATCTGGTCATCAATCTCTAATCCTTGACCCCTCCACATTCCTCATTTGTCATGTCTCATGAGATAATATGAGAAAGGAAAATGTGGAGAGATTAAGTAACCTGCTGAGGCCACAGATGGGTAAACAGGCAGTTGGGATTTAGATCTGGATGTCTGTCATTTTAGCCCATGGGCTTCTTCACCACAAAATGTCATCTTTTCACACCATTCCTTGCCCTTACAAAGAGATCAATAAAGTCTTAATAAATGGAAAGATGAATTGTCAGATAGATTGATAATTAGATTCTGGATAAATAGATGAAAAATAGCACTTTGTACCACTTTGGTTTACTGACAATATGGTAACTTCTTCTACAGTTATTTAGGTACTTTTCTTGATTTTCCTACTAGATTATTGAGCGACTTGAAGGTAGGGACACACTTAATGCCAACTTAAGAATAATTCAAATATAGAAGTCGGGATTCCCTGGTGGTCCAATGGTTAAGACTGCAGGCTTCTACTGCAGAGGATGTGGGCTTGATTCCTGGTCAGGGATATAAGATCACAGATGCCACACTTGTGGTATGGCCAAAAAGGAAAAATATATATATATATATATGTATAGAAGTCATAGAATAGACAAATAAATTCAATCATATTTTAAAAGATCTGCATGTGTGTGGGGGAATTGCAAAAGAATGTCAAGAGACAAATGACAAAATGAAAATGTAAAAATAAAACATATTTAGAATTATTGTCAAAATCAAAGAGTTAGCACTTCTCTGGTGGTCCAGTGGTCAAGAATCTGCCTTGCGATGGGATACAGATTCAATTCCCTGGTTGGGGAACTAAGATCCCACATGTTGCAGGGCAACTAAACCCATGAGCCACAACTACTGAGCCCATGCTCCACAACTGGAAAACGCCTGCATGCCCCAGTGAAGACCCAGTGTAGCTAAAAATAAAATTAAATTAAAAAAAAATGGTAGTTTATTAAAAAAAAAACTAAGGGTTAATTCCCTTAATGCATAGAGCACTCTCTAACACATGCAAAAATTAACAAGTATGAAACTGGACAGAAGATATAAACAGACACTTCATAGAAAAAAAAACCTCTAAAACATGTGAAAAAATGCTCAAACTCTCTTACATGAAGAAAATGCACATTAAAATGGCTCTGAAATTAGATGGCAGGATGACTGGAGAACTGGGGTTGGAAAGGGAATTTCTTTTATGTTCTCATTGTACCTTTTAAATTCAGAACCAAGTGAGAATATCACCTGGGTTTTCCCTGTGACTCAATGGTAAAGAACCTGCCTGCTAATGCAGGAGATGAGCCAGGGGCCCAGTGATTTGCATCTTTTCCCTCTCCTTCACTGGCTCTGCTCTGACACTTTCCAGCAGAGAAGCTTCCTTACCTCTTCTTGTAGCTGCTTTAAATTCTTAGAATCAGTTTAAGCTCAGTTCATGTTCCACTTTTCTGCATGAAACCTTCCTAACTACTCAATCTTCATCCTTCAGGGCCTCCACTTACAGTTGGGCAGGGTGTGCACTGTACAAGAACACCTGGGAGATGGGATGAGTCAGGACTGAGACCCAGCCCACAATCTACTTACAGAGCCATGAACCTCGGCAGCCCAAAGCAACTCTGCCCCTGATGAAGGGGAGGGGTCCATTCTTTTTTATTTTTTAAATTTTTTAAATTTTTAAAAAATTTAAATTTTTTATTCTTTTTTTTTTTTAGGGTCCATTCTAACTTGCACAAAGGTGTCAGAGGGGCTTGCAGGTCTATATGCATCACTCTTTTTCCTGTGCAACCTCTTAATTTCGTTAAAAAAAATTATCTTTTGGCCATTGACCAGGGATCTAACCTGCGCTCCCTGCATTGACAGCACCAAGTCTTAACACCGGACCACTGGAGAAGTCCTCGTTGTTGTTTAGTAACTAAGTCATGTCCGACTCTTTTGAGACCCCATGGACTGTAGCCCACCAGGCTCCTCTGTCTGTAGGATTTCCCAGGCAAGAATATTGGAGTGGGTTGCCATTTCCCTCTCCAGGGGATCTTTCCTACCCAGGAATTGAACCCATGTCTCTGGCATTGGCAGGTGGATTCTTTACCAGTGAGCCACCAGGGAAGCCTAGAGAAGTCCCTGAGCCATCTCTTAATTTATTACCATTAAATTTTTGCCAACTTCTCTGACTTTGGCTCATACTTAGCTTCGCAAGGGACAGGACTATGGCTTCCCTTGTGGAAGACATACCTTCTGATGCCTAGCCCAGTGATGGGCATCTTAAGCCATTCTTTCAAGGCTCCAACTAAATCATAGGGATGTTTTCTGAGCCCACATCCAAACTGATGACTCTGAAACATGAGAGCATCAGCAGTCCCTTCCGTGAAATTCTCATCTCTGCTGCCTCCCGAGTTCCCTTTCACGTCTCTGACCATGCATTACAGGGGATCCACTCCATCCTAGCATAAAGAGGTGGAGTTGCATAGACTTTGAAGGCAGATGGGCCAGATTCCCATCTCTGCTCCACCACTTGGCAGCTGTGAACCTTAAGTAGGTCCTGTAATCTCCCTGAGCCCCACTGCCATCCAGATCTTTATCTATGGTCT